GCCCTCCTGTGGCCCCGCATGGCAGGCGGGGGATGGCGGGCAGGTGGCGTCACCTCTGCTATCATCTTCATCTTCCGAGCCCCACACTCGGCCCTGATCCTGCCGCTTCCCCAGGTACGTGCCCGTCGAGGACCTGCTGGGCATCTACAGGAAGCTCTACGGCAAGGACGTCATCACCAAGCACGTCATCGTCGAGTGCTCCTACCTTCAGTTCTTGGAGATGTAAGTGCAGCCGGAGAATCGCACAGGAGCGTGTCGCCGCCTCCTGGCCCACGTCCTGGTGACTCTGTGTCTGTCCTGGAGGCCCTGTGTCCGTCTGGGGGGCTCTGGGCCCGTCTGGGGAGCCCTGTGTCCGTCTGGGGGGCCCTGTGTCCGTCTGGGGGGCCCTGTGTCCGTCTGGGGGGCTCTGGGCCCGTCTGGGGGGCCCTGTGTCCGTCTGGGGGGCCCTGTGTCCGTCTGGGGGGCCCCGTGTCCGTCTGGGGGGCCCCGTGTCCGTCTGGGGGGCCCCGTGTCCGTCTGGGGGGCCCCGTGTCCGTCTGGGGGGCCCCGTGTCCGTCTGGGGGGCCCCGTGTCCGTCTGGGGGGCCCCGTGTCCGTCTGGGGGGCCCCGTGTCCGTCTGGGGGGCCCCGTGTCCGTCTGGGGGGCCCCGTGTCCGTCTGGGGGGCCCCGTGTCCGTCTGGGGGGCCCCGTGTCCGTCTGGGGGGCCCCGTGTCCGTCTGGGGGGCCCCGTGTCCGTCTGGGGGGCCCCGTGTCCGTCTGGGGGGCCCCGTGTCCGTCTGGGGGGCCCCGTGTCCGTCTGGGGGGCCCCGTGTCCGTCTGGGGGGCCCCGTGTCCGTCTGGGGGGCCCCGTGTCCGTCTGGGGGGCCCCGTGTCCGTCTGGGGGGCCCCGTGTCCGTCTGGGGGGCCCCGTGTCCGTCTGGGGGGCCCCGTGTCCGTCTGGGGGGCCCCGTGTCCGTCTGGGGGGCCCCGTGTCCGTCTGGGGGGCCCCGTGTCCGTCTGGGGGGCCCCGTGTCCGTCTGGGGGGCCCCGTGTCCGTCTGGGGGGCCCCGTGTCCGTCTGGGGGGCCCCGTGTCCGTCTGGGGGGCCCCGTGTCCGTCTGGGGGGCCCCGTGTCCGTCTGGGGGGCCCCGTGTCCGTCTGGGGGGCCCCGTGTCCGTCTGGGGGGCCCCGTGTCCGTCTGGGGGGCCCTGTGTCCGTCTGGGGGGCCCTGTGTCCGTCTGGGGGGCCCTGGGTTCGTCTGGGGGGCCCTGTGTCCGTCTGGGGGGCCCTGTGTCCGTCTGGGGGGCCCTGGGTCCGTCTGGGGGGCCCTGTGTCCGTCCTGGTGGCTCTGTGTCTGCAGTGCGGGTTGGTGGGTGGACTTAGCTGGCTCAGGGCGCTCACACGATAGTGGATGTGTGTCGATGCAGCTCTTTCTTCGTTATTGGCCTCGCTCTCTGTGGGGCCACAGCTCACGGCCTCGCTCACTGTTGCAGGTACGGCGAGGTGCTGGCCGTCTCCAAGGTACAGCCTCCTCCCCGGAACCGCCCCGCGAGAGGCTCTGCGGGCCCGGGCAGCGCCCGATGCCGTCTCCCCTCCGTGTCCCCCCAGCTCTACCCCACCTACTCCCGGAAGTCCCCGTTCCTGGTGGAGCAGTTCCAGGACTACTTCCTCGGGGGCCTGGACGACATGGCCTTCTGGTCCACCAACATCTACCGCCTCACCAGCCACATGCTGGCCCACGGGACCCGGTGAGCGGCCTGTCCTCCCCCACGCCCCGCCCCGCCCGC